TATCTATACATAAATATAAAAATGGTGTGAAAAATGTATAGTAATTCATCAATTGAGAACGGTTGGGCCGATTTGGCTTTTTTTAGTTATTCGTAATTGCCAGGAGAAGGTTTTTAAGAAAGCAAATTTGGGAAAACCCTCCGCGAAAGTCGGAAAATTGGAAAAATCGAAAATTAATTTTTTTTTTTGGAATTTTGTGTGCAATTCCTTCGGAATGGCATTCGAATAGAAAAATAGAAAATTCTAAATGGAATCTCGGAAAATTCCGGAACAACGCGAAAAATTTGAATTTTTTTCCGACGAAAGCTTGGAAAATTTCGGATAATTGTGAATTCATTGGGAGCTTGAATCTATTGGGAACAATTTTCTCCCATGTTTCATAACCGATTCGAATGCGTGCTGCTGTTTTGGAAAGGTGTTTAGAACAAGGAGTGCACAAAATTTTAATTTTTCTGATAGGTGGCGCAGGGGTCGAGCTACGCTAAAAAAATGCATTTGGTTAGTTGTTAGCCTTTTGCCTAGATTAGCATATAGGATTCATTTCTTCCGTTAAGTGGGCCAGGGACCGATCTATTCGAAAAAGTCTTATTTATGGTCCGATTTGCTTGAAATTCGATACCCGTATTATAGATATGCGTAAAATAGAATCGAGTCATTGTTCGAAATGTGTTTGAAGGTGGCGCAAATATGCGGGTATTGGCTATTTAACAATACTTATTACACAGGCCAACAAAAATGGGAAAAAAGTTGATGCAGCAAATGTTAACGCTATTTTTTCCGTATTTTTGTGGGCTGATTATGAATCCGTAAGCTAAAGTTTCCACCAGCTCCAGATTTTAAGAAAAACGTGGTCAAAGTATCACAAAATTGCGTTTTTATCCATATTGGAGAAGCTCTAGCAAAAAAACAAAGGGTGGTAGAACCTTCACTTAGGCTTTGATTAAAGCTAAAAATCTCGAATACTATACTTGCAAGTTCCCGAAGCTTTGCTTGATACTCTTATCGTCATTTGTTGAACAGGAATAACTGATTTTGGGAAGTTTGAGTTTCTACCGCAATTAAGAAAAATGTGATAGAACCTTCCATGTAGACTTAAATTAAAGCTAGAACTACAGACTACCATCCCTGAAAGTACTATTCCTGCACCTTGCCCTAATGGTCACCTATACTCATTTACTTTTTATCAAAATGGTGTAAAAATCAGTATTATCTGTTTAATAAATGACTATAGGTCTTTATTTAAGGCTAAGGCGAAGGCTCTATAACCTATTTTTTCATTGCTAGAGCTTCTCAAATATTGCAAAAAAAAGCGATTTTTTGACATATTCACCACATTTTTCTCAAAATCTGGAGCTGATGGAAACTTTATACTTAAGGCTTGTTTTCACTATGTCATATTTTGAAGTCAAAATTTGTCGACATACCTTCGCTGATAATATTATGGGCCAAAAACGGACATATAGCTGGTTCAGCAGCGCATGTACACGACAGAAGACCTATCCTGATCTGAATCAATCGATATACCGTTTTTGATCCCAATTGACAATGTGTTTTCATTTATTTGATGACAAATGACAAATGTCGTTGAATTTGACATAGTGAAAACAAGGCTTTACGCATTCTTAATCAGCACAAAAAAGCCTATCAAAACCAGCTTCACCATTTGCCGCATCAAAATCGGTGTTGCTCTGTGTTACCTACACTAATTATATAAAGAGAAGCTCCTTCTTTTTATAAGAGGTGATCTCGCGATCGGTTGTACCGATTTTTTTAATTTTTAGAAACCTACTGCAGACTTTCGATATATTAAGGGAGCGTGGCATCACCCATACATATCGAATTTTGCATACCCTATATCTCTGAAAGTATTTGTGGTAGTGTCCTGGAAATTGGTATAGAGATTTTGGGGCTACTGGAAAAGGGGCGTGGCGCTTTCCAAACATATTGAAACTTTTACCTATCTGTAAATATATACACCCAGAATACCCTGTTTTTTTCTTTTTCATAATAAATTTTTTTGTACATTTTTTTATAGAAATATAGTTAATTTTGCCTCAAATGGCACCAAATTTTTAGTATGCAGTTTTGTAGTTCCAAGCCAATTAAGCCAATTCTTGTGTATCAAAAATATTTTTCGCACAGATAACTACAAATAAAACGACCTTTGATTTCAATGTACTAAAACCACTGTGTCTTTTATTTATTCTTATTTTTCGTTACATTAACTTTACGCTGGTGCGCTCCATCTTCGTGCGACGCCACCTGCGTAAACACGAATGCGTGAGTTTTTTGCATGGGAAAAAATGCCGAAGAGTGTCAGTAGGTAAAAGGCTTATACTGGTGGCTTAAATCCTCCTAAACGACCGAAACGATTTTAATGATAATTTTTTTATGATAATTTTTAGTGGCGCTGGAGCCGAGTTATTGCTCTAAATCGTCGATTCGGAGGCACCAGGGATCAAAGTCAAATTACTCTCGTTAAATCACCCATCAGAACCATTGCGGTCCTTGCTTTACGGTAACTAAACAGAATGTGGCCCAATGATACTCACCAGTTTAGAAATTGCCACCAACTATACTATACAGATGCAAGGGCGATTTACTATCGAGCCGCAAGGACTTCTTCCCGGTATAACGCTTTCAGCAGGTTATTTAAGACGGCAATGGAGGATATGCCTTCTGTCGACCACAAACCCAAACGTGAACGTGAATTTCTGGCGAAAACGTTGGCCCAAATGTTCCAATAAAAACATTAATTTTGGGCGGGACGAAGTTCACCGGGTCTGCTAGTGTATAGATACAATTTATTCCAAGTCGAATTCATATAATAAGGTGACAGCAGAAGTTCAATAACAAAAATGACACAAACAAATTTTACGCAAAATGACATTAACATTTACAAAGAAATACATCATTTTGACGTTAAGAATCCCCGAGGCGAAAATCCAGCTGCTTTGGTTACACCATCTTACCTAAATTTGCTTTCATTTATCCTAAACTAGCGAATGCCCGCTTACTTCGCGGCGCCTAATAAGAACTTTTGCGTTGGCCAATGCAAAATAGCGTTTAAAAGCAAAAATAGTCCGTTAAGTCAAAATTTTTGGTTTAAGTTGAAACCACTAAGGCGCAGTATCCTGCTCACACATAGGCCAATAATAGTAACGCTCTGATACCATATGGAATACCAATCCCTTTCGGTGTCATGAGCTTCAACGATGGCCTTATTTCCACCTGTGAGATCTCTGCCAGGCATGCGTAATCTCTTTCTATGATCTTGCAACTACAACATTGGTGCGATGCGTATGCCAATAAAAGTTCTTATAAGGAAACTCAAGAGCACAGAAGTGCGTTTTCTGTTATAGGAGGGCCAAGAATCCTCGCTGTCCTACAGGAGGAAAAGCTTTCCGGTACCTTGGCTAAATGAGTCGTGTGATCTCTTGAATATCTTTCAAATGAAGCAATTGATATACCTACGGTGATCTTTCCTTGTTAATTCGTCACTTTTACAATTCGTGGTAATATTTATGAACTGATTTCTGGGTAGATGCAAGATCGCAATATCGTGAGGGTGTCAGACAAACTTAAGCCCATCCATCATTTAGACATCTGAAAACTAAATTCATATAACTTAAACATAGGGCCAAAGCAGACCAACCAAGCAGACATTTCGGCTGCAGCACCATCCATTGGGTCCATTTTCTGCAAAACCATTGCTTACCATAAAATGAATACGTGTTATGAATTTCAACCTCGACTCCAGCGACACTCATCGGGTCAATTTTTATCAAAATAATTTTCCATCATACAGGTACATAGCTCACATTTAAAATTTGAACGAAATCGGTTAAGAAATACGATTTTTATAAACAACTCTAGTAGCATGTAATAGGACCATATATGTATGTAAGATACCCTCCGACAATCTGACGGAACTCTATTCAGTGGTTTTTGAGTTTAGTCCGAACAACGAAAACGGCTATCATTTTGTGCAAATAGGTATGTAGATAGGAGAGTCTATAGCGAAACTCGTAAAATCAAAGCTCCATCCTTTGTGAAAAATTTAAAAAAATTCTCCAAAATTTTCACATACATTTTACCTTTTACTAAAAATTAAAAACAAAGTTACAATAGCTCAATGGGATTTAGAAACCTAGGATAAAATGGTTCCCAATCGAATGATACTTGCGCGTTTACGTAAATGTATATAGATCCAATAACCACCACTTTTCGCCATAAGTACGGTATTGATAACATATGTATGTAGCTGTGTCGAATTTCAGGACGTTAGCGTAAGTGTTTCCAGAGATAAGCTATATGAGCAGTTCAGTTCGTATGGAAGATGCCACGCACCCTTTTCCAATGCATTTGCATTTTTCAGTTCCCCAGCGTAATTGGTTTCAGAGATATATTGGTTTTTTTACGTTTTAGTCTGTATAAGAGTTTTAGGAATATCCCGAGCTACATACCGAGTAAATTTTTGGTTCGGATGGCATATGTGAAATATGAAGCAAATCGGCGCAGCCGTTTAGTAGTTTAGTGAAATACATTGTACAGAGAACTGTATGAAATTGTAAAGCATTACGTCTCAGATTTCTTAATTTTTTGGCAGCAACAACGAAAAGTTTTGATTTTTTTTTAGCGAAAAACCTTTCACACAGAAGTTCCAAAAAATTTGCGATTGGTTATGCTTGAACACACTAAATTGAATGTCAATAAAATTAAGTTTGTGGTTATAGCAAGGCGAAATTTTAAGAACAGTCCAGTCCGTTGCTAACTCTAAGCCCTTACCAAATATAAACAACGACGCACTGGAAAAAGTTAATACTTACTTTCAAATACCTAGGAATAATGATCGACGATAAACTAAAACAAAAAAAAAATGGATTCTATATTTTCAATTAGAAATCTATCTTTTTTGTCCGATCAGTTCAAATTTATTTTATTTTATGTTTGTAGGCTAGTCTGATCTTTTCAGTTCTGGTGCGAATAAAACTACTTTATTCCACTTTTCACCCGACGTTTCGCTAAAACTTTTTTAGCATCCTCAGGGGTAGTGTTTATTTTATCTGTTACAACAAATATACAAAAATACAAAAAAACACACACACATTAAATATTAACCGAAAAAACCAAAATGTATACATATATAACAACAAATTGAATTTAATGACAAACCAACTTACATTGTTTAGATATTCAAACATAGATATGTATATGTATAAATGCTTAATCACTAAAAAAGAAAATCACCCCTATTGCGAGTGTCGGCTGGCAGTAGATAAACGACTATTAAGCGATTATCGATTATCGATGCTATTGTGAGTGTCGCTTAGTCGCGACTGTGAATACTTTTTAATCGCTCATCCTTCTATTGCTGTTTTTTAGTCGTTGGAGTTTGCATTTATAAAATTTACATAAGAAAGTGGTACTATAATGGATAAAAAGTAAGTAAATTGAATTGGAAGTTGTTAAAAATTGTGAAATATACATATGTATGTACATATGTGTCTGAATTACAGATAAAAAATTGTAAGCAACAAAAGGCAACTTGCGCGGTTGGTCGAGCTGATGCAGGAGAGTGAGGACAGGCAAAGGAATTTCCGTAAAGAGCAGGGGAGGAAGCTCCGCTTCTTTTGTGAAAGATATACAATATTTCTTGTGCATATAATTCTGGCTACGCCATCCACAGTGTTTTTGCGCAGAACCAACATCAAAGTTTACAAAAAACTGCATAATTTATTAATTAACTAATGCTCGGAAACTTGAAATCTTTATGTTAAATTAAAGTTTAATTCTTTCACTACACTTGTATGTTAAAGTTTTAAAACTCGGGTCACGCGTTTGGACACAAATACTCAACATCATTGTTCAAATAACTAAACGGTACCGTATTTCTTAAACTTCCATAAAATTTATTAATGAGGAAAACAGCTTTTCCTGCAAATCCTGTAAAACCTAAAAACCTTGAAGCATCGGGAACGCAACATCTATTCATAAAATTCACATATGTACATACACTTCATCTTCCAACTCCATGGGATCCGACGAATCTCGCGATTCCCTCCTTGCTTTAGCCAACTCTACTAATCTATTAGCTTCCACATCATCTTCCTCATCACTAAACCATATTTCAACTGTGTCCATTTTTTAAATTTTATAATAAAAGCAATTATTTTAAAAATGATGTAAATGAAACATTAAAGAAACAAATGTAAACAAACAAACAGCTGTTTACAATTCCGTCACCATTCACAATAGTACAAATTTTTATCGATCAAGTTACACAATAGCAAAATAAAAGATGATCGACTCGATCGACAAATTTCTATTCTACTGCCAGTCGACACTGGCAATAGGGGCCAATATATCCATACCACTTGATGTGGTAGTTTTGTCAGTACTGAAAATTTCATTTTTGTAAACAAGTTATGTACGCGGCCGCAATGTTGTCTGTATCTTCCCTCTTATTAATTGTCATTTCTCGTTTTTGCATAATTCTAAGGCTCTCTATTGTGTATCGAATCTGTTCTCTTCTTTCTTTGTCAATAATATTTGTGTTCGCGAAATCAGCTGTGTGTCCACTTGTTAAAATGTGCTGTGATAATGCTGTACTGCTTTTCCGTTTCCTTATGTCCGCTTCATGTTCGCCTAATCGAACACCTAAAGGCCGCTTCGTTGTCCCAATGTACACCTTTCCGCATGTTTCTGTTTCCTTCCCATTGCATTTAATTTCGTAGACTACGTTGTTTTGTTGGTGGACATCCACATCAATTAGAGCTCTAGCAATATGTACGTCGGTGAAAACTGTATTTAATTCCATACGTTAGTTTTTGCGTGATGCGCTCACAAACATACAGACAGACAGACCAAAATTTAAAAATTTTAGATTTGGCTTCTGTTGATCTAATAAATTCCCTACTCATTTTTCTTTAACATCTATTATCTACAGATATCGGCCTGTTACAATTTTATTATTCTCAAATACTTTCGTTTCATACCCATATGGCGACATTTAGGTTATCTTATAAATTTAACTGATTTAAAATAAGTGGCAACCCGCTTCAAAAATATTTTCAAAAGTACATTTAAAAAAAAAAAACTTCTCTTAATTGAAGAAAAACAGCAATCAAAATGA